TAAGGCCGCGCGATAATAAAGGGGTAGTTAATGACTAGCCGGGGGGTTACACAGATCGGAGCAGACCGTATGCCGTTCTGTTGACAAAATATTGGGCCTTGCCGTCGGCGGAGTGGAGTTAACAGATTTCCCGTGGCGATTCTTCTCGCCGAATTTTCGCTCACAATCTCGATTCGATCGCCAGATTGGACGTCGCTATTTCCGCGTCATCATTTTCATTAGAGGGCGGCGTTGCTTTTATCGCGGTCGACGCTGGCATTAATTTTCATCGACGTGCCGATATTAATAGAGCTCGCGTAATCCCGTCGCGATATTAATGACAATAATATGTGGGGTAGCGTTTCCGATAGAAATTTTAATTCGTCCGCGGCCGCTTCGAATTTGTCAATGTCGTATTTGTTAGCAGATCAGGCGCGACGAGTAATATGTAACGCGAAAGTGAGCCCGAATAATAATAGAATGGTTGAAAATAATTGAGAGCTGCTAATGCTTTTATAACGTTGCGAGTAACATTTCTAAAATTTAATTTAAATTTTTATTCAATCGTTGCAGTAAGTTTTGTGCATAACAGTTTTATGAACGACGATGGCTGAAGTAAGCGATTTCGGTATTATTCCTTGACGCGGAATTTACGCTATTTACATGCGCAGAGCAACGCATGATCGTGGTTTATTGTTGGGAATGTGAGCGGAGAAAATTCGATGCATTCACTAGAAGGATGAAGCTCTCTTAAGAATATCTGGGTGCCGTCGGCGTCGACTCTAGGAGTGAAACTGAAACGGGGATAGGTAGGATGCCATTGGAATAAGATCGGGTTTAGCCGCAGTGTCGGGTTCGAGCCCCGGATAAGTCTACCTTATCCCGATAAGCCGGTGAGTTAATGAATCACAAAACAGGTGGTGGCACTGCCACCCGAGAAGATCGTCTTCGTCCTCTGACAATTGCGACTGAATTCGTCCGCTGTCGAATGACACTACTTTACGACGAACGTTATGAAACTCAGCTTCAACTCGTCTGTCCCGGCAAACATTCTCTCAACAGTTTCGACCGAGATTTCGAAACGCGAAGAGTATTAAGCATCTCTGCGCGAAGGAAATCTGAGTGATTATAATCTGATGATAATTGAATGAAATTTGTTTGTACTGAATGGGACCTCTTAAAAATTATAATAAGAGAACATGAGAGAGATCGATGCAATATGATTAACAAATTTTCTTTCTTAACATGGAAGAATAATGTTTGATAATCTAAGACAGAAAAATAATATATATTTATGCCAAACCTAGGAGAGTTTAATAATTTTAACTGAAATAACAGATAGTCTTTAAATTATTTATCTTTATGACAATAATAGATAGACGTATAATATGTAAAGAAACGCAAGTGTCTAATTTTTTGGTGGAAAATTGCTGCAGGCACTTTAATCATTACGTGAGCCCGAAATTTTATCTCGTATCGCAAGTAGAACAACACAACGGGAGCGGTTATCAAAGCTATACGTAAAATTTTATCTGTGTTGTCTGGTACTTGACAAAAATCAACGTTTTAAGCAGGAATCTCTTCTGATATTGCAAACGAAAAGAAAAAAAGAATCAAGCTCTGAAATTTTAGGCGACGTATAGAAGTCTCTTTGTTAATTTATTAATTTTAATTTCAAAAAGATTATTTATCAAACGATTACCATTGTTTAAAAGATTTGTGAGGCATATGATTATCATTTAACCGATAATTAATCGCGACAGGAATAACAATCATTCGGTTTTGATATTTCCTCTTGCAAGAGTGAGAATGTTTGCAGTGAATGCATTTAAATTACAAATTGTTCGATAAGAGCGCAATGGGTGGGACGTGATATATTAAATTTTGCTTCCTTATCGAGTTTTATCAACGACGAGGTGTAATTGAATATTTCAGATTGTGCGTCACGTCGGGATTCTCCGCAATCAATCGTACCGTTTTTTCGTCGAATTATTTTCATCAACCTTGATTATTTACTTGTCGCATGTTTATTTTTTCGTGACATTTGTCATGAATAAAGATTAATAAAGACAATTTTCTACTTTTGTGCAGTGTCATACATATCAATCTTGTTTTGCAACTGACACATTCGTGGAACACGCGATACGAGATTTTTGGCGGAGATGTACGATAATGCGAACTCTGCGGCGTTTGCGCGCGGTGCAAAGTCAGGAAAAATGTCGGGTACTTATCGCGCGAATAAATGAGGATCGATATTATCGCGAACAACAAAATCAAACGCGACAAGCCAGCTATAAGCGATTACAACGCGATAACTCGCGATGCGACTACGGTGGAAAAAAGCAAACTTCATATCTTGTCGGAATCGATACACAAAGGAACACGTCGATTGTAATTACCGAACTCATTCGTGAAGCCACTTTACCGTGACATTATCGCACTTAATCCTTTCATCACGATCTCAGGAAACGCTAGCGGTTCGCTTCATGCATTTTATGCAGCAATATTTCTATATAGTTCTATCGTAATTACATTGATTCTTAAAATAATATATTTATATATTGTATTGAAAATTCACATAATCTAATATATAATTTATCGCGTATGTAAGAAAAGATTAGAACTAATCTTGAGAAAGAATTTTTTTTATATTTTTAAACAACGACAAACACAATCTTAAACGCGAGAAAGTTTTTCTCTTTAGAAAATTATACAAATTATTTCCAAAAACGTTGTGCATGCGGTAAGATTTGATGATGAAGCAAGACTAATTATTTTTGTTAAATAATTTGATAAATTAAAACTTCTTTGATTCCATGTTTGTCACAGATAATTATTTTTCATTTTATCTTGCTGAATGATAATGAAATCTGATAATTAAAAAGTTGAAGAACGAAATGTATCTATAAGAATAGATATATATTAGTTTTCATAAAAATATCGAATATCATGATTGTCCATGGAATCCGCTAGATGATATATTATTAAATATGTCCCGTAATATTAATAATGGAATAATATTATATAAATAATGGCCCGTAAATCAATGAATGGATCGCGTTAAGCTCGTCATGTCACGATTTGCGCCGCGGAGCCTGATGTCTTTAGTATTGTGAACGACTCACCACGTTTAAGTTTCTCCAGCGGCTCGTGGTGCAGCTGGTGGCTGGAATTGTGCAGCATCGAGGTGTCGTGATGCGAATTGCCGTGTAGATCGTGATGATGCATCGCGCCCTGAAGATGGTCGCCGTGCAGGCCGGCCATCGACGCGGTCGCCGCGACCGCGTGCTGATGATGCTGCACCGAGAGGCCGCTCGTCGGCCCGATCACGAGATCCTGAAGACACAAATCCGCGTTGCCGCCGCCACCGCCGCCGCCTCCGCCGCCACCGCCGCCGCCCCCGGCGAGTTCGAGGCTCCCCCCGGCCCCGCCGCCCCGCTCCATACTATAGAAGGTTAACGTCGTGTTGACTGTTCCTTACGACTTGTATATGATCAACCTGGCCCGCGAGAGGCCACGAATTAGCGCGATCACGCCCGTTTCCTCGCCACTTCCTCCTAGGAACACATTCAAGCGTCTTCTCTGTTTCGCAGATCGGATTGTTAGCGAAAATCTGCGTAATAATTTTCCGATGATCTTGACTAGTTGGAAATATGAAGTAGTTTTATTTTTTTCAAAGTTCACTAACTGTCACAGGAGTTTTGGCTTCCGTCGAAGTGTCCGTCGGCTAAAAATCCAGTGTACAATAATTAATCAATGCAAAATATCGATAACGAAATTGATGAATTCTTTTCGACATAGGTTTGTGAGGAACAAACGTGATTTATGCGATTTCTCCTGAGACTGTCACGGTGCGTTCGCCATACCGTCGGCACTCTTCCGTTCGCACTGCGATTTTTCTAGCGTCGGAAACGAAATACGCACGGCACATGCCATCGGTGTCCGAGACGGAAATCCGTGGACGGTCGCGGATTCATGCAATAACGCCGAAAAGGTAGCGTGAAACTTACGTGGATAACGCGCGCGGAGGACTGATAAATCAGATAACCGTCGTTTCCACGTCGTCGCGTTACGTAAGGAAAAGCGGAGAGTTATAAAATTTGTCGCTTAAGTAGGTTAAAATATCAGCACTATCATTCTCACATCTTCTACTTGAGTGAATATCTTTCGTTCTTTTAACTCTTTCTCGTCTTTCGGGCTTTTATTACGGTTTTTTTCGCACTTGAATCAATTGTTACAATTTATTCATAGTTTTCCGCAATTTGCACAGTTCACGCTTTTACGCATGAGTTTTTCGTGTCCGTGGAGCAAGTTCGTTCGCGATTCGGAGTCACAGTTAAATTAGTGAACAGGAAGGACGTAATCATTGATTTGATGTAGTATCCTTAGCACTACGCCGACCACCACTCTCGCCATCCACTTCTCTCTTCAGCGGGATGAAGAATCAACCAAGAACCACGAAGAATCAACATCCACCGACTTCTGTCACTGATGAGAGTCGCGCCGATGATTTGACGGAGAGATGCGACACCTCCGCGACAACACGACCTGTACTATCACCACTTCCGAGTTCTGCTACCTCGTCTTCCACTCCGGAACTCTACTGCGTGTTTACACGCAGATTTGGCACGACGGGGGCCTCCTACCCGCGACCGTCGTCGGACGGCGCGGCCGCGGCCGCGGGCGACGACGTCGGCGTCGTCGCCGTCGTCGTCGGCACGAGCGCGTCGACGACGATGATGATGATCGCGCAGCACTCGTCACTACTCGCACCTCTGCCCTTAACGTACGTCAAAGCGCGGAGCGGGACACGGCGATAGAGGAAAATATAAGAAGGCGGCGGCGGTGCCGCCGGTCGCAGCGGTGTATCCCGATTTTCCCGCCGGTGGATGGAACGCGTAGTGGCTACCGCCGCGTAAGTCGGTTGGTAGGTGGGTCCGCCAGGCTTAGCCGGTTGAGCCTTTCGGACTGCCTGACGGCTTAAGTCTCTAAGTCGGTAAGCCGAGCGGATCTAGTGGTCTTGGCTGGTGCACTGGCTGCCTGCTAGCTTGCCTGCCTAGCTGCCTGCCTGCCTGGTTGCCTGCCTGCCTTCCTTGCTTGCCGGGCGGCCTGCCTGACTGTCTGACTGCGCCTCTCCCTCCGGCTCGCTCGCTCTTACTCCCCTCCATCCGTTGATTCTCTCTTCGCTGCCACGTCCGGAGCAGACTCCCCACCTAGCGCGTCTCGCTCGTGCTCGCGGCATCGCTTGCTCTCCCCTTGGCACGATCTCTCACGCCTGTGCTCGCGCCGCCGCTCGCTCCTTTCCTCCCTCGAATCGCCCAACCCCGAACGGGTCTCTCTCCGCGCCGTGCGTTCGCGATTCGTACCCTCTCGCTTCAATCGTCTACGCGTCCTTGTCCACGTAGCGCGAGTTCTCGCCCGCTACCTCGCGATCTCTTACGCCGTCGTCTTGTCCCTCCTCCGCACTCCCTCCAGTCAACCCCTCCACAACGTCTTTCTCTCACACAGCATCCCTTCTTCCAGAATCGCACAGCGTTCCTTTCTCTCCGCATCTCGTTTCCGACGCGATCTCTAACATCAGATTTCTGTCTCGTATGCGAGATTCGGTCCGTAGCAACGGCAACCCCTGCGGTGTCCGTTGTTCATCATCGCTTTCTTTATGTGTTCTTTATCCGCGGCCATCTCACATTTTTCGCTGCGATCTTTCGCGTCTCTTTACGCGGCATAGATACTCGAATCGGTCACACCAGTTAACGCGCGGTGTCACCGACGCGCAACCCCTTCCGGTCCATCCCTACTTTCGGATTCGAACCCCACCTTTGACCCCGTATTGCCCCTCCTACGGTGGTGACGGTGGTCGGCGTGCTTACCCCTTCGAGCGAACGCACACGCACACGTGGTGTTTTCTCTCTTCCCTTCTCTTGGACTAGCGAGGGCGATCTTGCCGTACTACGACGATTATCGTTTGTTGTTTCTCCCGGTCGGGCTCGTACCGCCTTGACCACGCAAGATCGCGATTCACCGTCAGTAGAGTAGTCTCGGCGATTACCCTTCGCCTTCGTACAGTACACGCCGCTATATCTCCGTTTGTTTACCTGAAAACTCACACGCGAATAAAACCGTGGAAGGGTACAGCCTGGATATCGCTATGCAGAAAGTCAATCTTGTCGCTACTCGCGAACGCGATTCGTAGAAAAGAAAGAAAAGAAGAAAAGAAAGCGGAAGGAAGTAACGTTAGAAAATATTACCACTTGTTGACGGCTTACAAATCATTCTCAACAATTATTTCTATAATTTTAAATCCATGATTCATTAATATGATAAAAATGATAGAAATCGAAACTGACGACAATTTGTAGACAATCGCGAATGATAATCGACATTTTATTTAGTTGTTGATTATAAGTATTACGGTATTTTGAATATAATTGTGTTATCGATTTTTAATAACTTCAAAATTGCGCTTCATGAATCTGTTTGAAGTTGAAGTTGTGCTGAAAATCGGGACCGCTAGTACGCAGTTATCGCTCGTCTTATCAGTTGGAGTAAATATCGGCCTGTACTGACGTCTGGAGTCGTTTATATTGAACGTTCTATTCGATTCCGAGAGGTGTGCCTCGAATACAACTCTACTCAAGTTTACGACTCGTGCGTGCACGTCTGCGTGAGCAATCTCGAGGAAAAACGAATTTCCGACCGCCTGATCTACTGCCAAATGATACGATTGACCGTTGTCCGTACAATTTTCACAGCCGATTTATCGGAGAATTCATTGCATTGTCGTCGCGACGATATATATTTTTTTATATTCTCGATAAGAAGAGACGTTATTATATCAATCGAACATTAACAATACGCACTAGAATATCGTTGCATTGGAAATACTTCTGAATGCAACAGGCAATAAGCTTGTTTTTTTTTTTACTAAGTATTTAGATATTACAAAGTCGAAGAGATAAATTCTTAAGTTATACTGTCTACATAGCGTACAAATTTCATACGCCTAAAATTTCGAGATAGAGAAGATAAGAAAAATTAATTATATGCGATAAACTTCCAGCTTCGGAAGCAACTTAGTTTCGAACGGCAAACTGTATTCAATTCTGTTCCTTCGCCATTTGTTACACGATATCGATTATTGTATAACAATAACCGAATAACCTACTCATTCCTCGGAGTTACTTCGGAGACATGACGGCACCCAATTCGCTCTTATCACGAAGAGCAAGGTCCGAAAGGGTCAGAGACGAAGTGGGCCGCGCGTGATCCTCGTAAGAGAATCGTCGCTAGTAAAGGGAAGCCGAGAACGTCGTGACTGGCGTCAAGAAGTTGTCACGCAACGGCACGGCGGGAGGAAGCATCTCCCGACAGGATATGTGGGGGAGGGAAAAAGACGAACGCGGGGAGAAACGGAAAGGAAAGCGGAAAGAGACGGAAAGTGGCTATCGGTGGTATAAAGGGCGTAGGGATGAGGAGGGACGCGGGTTCTAAAGCACTCGATGGAGGAGAGCGCGGCAGACGCGCGGAAAACGAAGAGCGCGATACGAAAACGGGGGTTGTAGCGGCAGTACATACGTCAAGCTAGGAACAGAGCGCCATACCGGGGATCCCCTAACGCCTCGGGGAAAGTAGAGGAGACAAATGACAAGATGGCCACGCCTACCGCGCGAACGGCGTGGGCGTTATTTGCCGGTGTGTGCGTGTGACTTCCCAGAGTTCAGAGCTAGAGTGGGAGCACCACATCGGCGCGACTCGACGACGGTCTGGTGGGACAGGAGAGAAAGAGAGAGACAGACGGACGGAGTGAGAGAGGGTGCGGGTTATGTACGTGGGACGCGGGCGCGGGATAGGACGTGTTCGCCAGGGTGTCTCCTGATTTTTGAAGCGACCGAATTATATGGACAACGTACTGCGAGTGCGACATCGTTCGTGACCGAAACGTGGAAGCCACCCTACCTCGGTAAATTAAAGTCGAAGATGATAGTCGGAGATGGTCACTGGCTCTGGGCGAAAATATAACGTCCAAGTCCGTGGTGAGGGAAATAATTTATGTCTTTTATCCTGTTGCATCGACGATGTCTTATGCCGGACATTTTACTTCCAACGATATTGGTATTCGATGGATCTATCGAATATCGATGTGTCTTATTTCATTAAAAACTGTAGGTGCGGTACATCAAGATATTATAGCCTTACACATCAAACGAAACGTGTTAACGAATAGAAATTTGCAATGCATTATTTTTATCCATCATAGATTTAATCGATAAAATTAAACTTACATAACATTTTACAATATTGATTATGCTAGTATTCTGTTTGTAACTAGAGAAGATATTGATGAACAGAAATTTGCAAAATCCGATGTCCAAATAAAATTTGGAAATGAATGCAACATGCCGTATCCAAATAGGTCTCTTCCACGCGACAGAGATGATCGGGAAAATCGGGCGTAATATACGTCCGGCCATAATTATTGTAATTCGATAATAATTGAAGGATTATGGATTATCTCTGTATATAGGAGAGCCGCGCGCGGCACGGCTTTGCGGCTGGCCTCAACGCCGAGGCTGTCGCACACGATTGCATCGACTATTCACTATTGGTCTCTCTCGATCGACATTCAACCCTGACTGCGATTCGACAATCGGCTCGTTCTACCGATGGTTAAACTTCGCGTAACGGCGTGATGTGTCGTCAATGCTGTTTTTCGTTAGCGCGAGATCGTTGCATACTTCAAAACTTGCACTTTTATAAACTGTTCATTGGGAAACAGTAAAAGTCATGTTTTAAAAACAGCGATATTTTTTTTTAACGTTCTATTTGTCAAACATGAACATGATATATAATGTCGCAAACATATATTAAATAAATATTTAATTATGTAAAGATTTTTAAATTCGAATTTACATAACTTTCAAAATTAACAAATCATATTCTAATAGCAACCTCTCGTTTCTGCTGTCAATGTATAAACATGTTTTGTAAAATCAGCAATGTTGAATTTACTTGTTTCTGTGAATCTTATCTTTTAGTTTTACGAGCCGCTAAAAACCGCATCTCGCATTACATAATTAACACTCGCAATTCTGACTAATTATTACTCTGCATCGTACGCAGCATTATTGTATGTACGTGCCATTTGCTCGATATCGGCAACAACCATAAACTAAGTTATTGCCGGGATGCCATAAAAGGATAAGATAGACATTTATCAGCTACGAGCGGTCGGTTGCTCGTTTTAACGACGAGAACTCAACTCGCGAGCACACATCCAACGTTAAATATTACCTGCCGGACGATTATTTCGCAACGTGACACAAAAAGCTCATTTAATCATATTATTCAAATTGCGTTACATATTGCAATTTGGAAAACATCCAATTGATACGCGCAAAAATATGTCTGGAAGCAAATCGTTTTCAAATAAGTAGAAAAAATGGTTTATTACATGTTTTCTAAACTTTTAATGATATCAAGATACTTTATATAACTTTATAAAGGATTTTTAAACAATTTTTGTATCTAAAAAATCATATTTCTTTATATTAATAGTTTATTTGATATTATTCCAATAGAAGAGGTATATGTGTCTCTTTATCTTATGCATCTTGTGCAAATAATTATAATTGTGAATTTTTATTGATTGTGCTTCATTGCCAAAATATTAACGTTGCATGTTATCTACTTATTTACTTCTTTTAGAGCAACACGATTTGTTCAAGATAATTTCTCTTCTGAAAAAGTATGGGATTATTTCAGGAAATGCCCACTTGATTTTTAATATTGTTTATTGGTGATCAGTTTTCGTATTGATAGATTGCTTTTTTTAGTATCTGCATTGTGATATTAACATCAAAATATTTTGATAACTGATTAATAATATCTTACACTTATTTGTAATGTTAATTATAAGTATCGGTTTTTATTAATTTATTGCTGCACATGATGTCCGTTCAATCTTTCAATTATCTATATTTTTCAAGATTATTTTTCTATATTAATTGTTTTAATTTTTGGAAACTTTTTTCACAAGATTCTGTGTTGTGCAGTTAATTTGAAGGCTTCCTCTACGCAATAGTAATTTGACATGTTTT